AGTAAGCACATAAAGAGCTATAAACAAATATAAAATTCAACCATGGTTTGTCCTGATTCCACCCTAAATGTTCCCGAGTATCCTTCCTGCCTTCCTCCTCTTATTGTGAGAATTAATTCTTCTTCTTGGCTTTCAGGTCAAGTTTTTGAAAGTAACAAGTACACCTTAGCTTTAGCAGGAAGAACACTCTGCACCCATATGTCACCCAGGGGCCAAGTGAATTGGGCAAGGTTCAGGCAAAATGACCCTATTGCACCACAGAACCTGCAAACCTGGCTTTTGGAACACTGATAAATTCCACAAAATGAATATAAATACCAGGTAATGGGTTACAGATTGCAGAATTCTCCCCCAGGTGAGCTCCAAAACTCCAAATGAGTTCTGGAGCTCATAACATCTACGAATCCTTGGTGAAATGGCAAGGCCTAGGAGTTACAATGATCATCAGTCTGCCGTGGCTATCTCAATCCTTTACCATGTTTTGGAAAATTAAGGTGCTATCTTGGGCCAAAATTAGCCCACAGTGCTGAAGTGCCTGTTCTTCAGAACTACATTGCCCAAAGATGCCAGCTTTGGTCTGTTTATCTTTGACTCAAAGTGACTTTGCTGGCATAATCTGATGTTGTGGACAATTATGGTTTTTTAGCCTGGGGATTAGGGGGGATACGTTGGGCATAGAGCTACAAGAGTGGTCATTTGTGTAACTGGTGTTGTCTCCCCCAAAACATAAATCCACACATGGCCATACAGAGCAATATGTAAGGTAGCTCTCTGTACATGGGACATTTTGCAGACCTCAGAATTAGCCCCAAACAGCCTCAGTTAAATCTTCCAAGGGACAATTTCATGATAAATGTGCAATGAGATGGAGAAGTGGAAATTCATCACATTACAGGAAGAATATCTAATCCCAAATTATTTATTAATGCACAACTCCATCATGATCTTACTCTACATGATTTCTATTTAAACACCAGAAGTTGGTGCAAGTGCTCTGACAATTTTTGTCTTAAGTGAGATATGAAAAAATCCCAGGTAGCCAGCTTGAGATGGAATCAGCCGGCCATCCTTCAGAGGTCAGTAAAATGAGTACCCAGTTCACTTGAGGGGGGGGGACATGTAGCCTGCATAATTAAATTGTTAACCACCCAGAGAGTGCTTTAAGCACCGTAGAGGTAGCATATAGGCAGCACAATTCCTTCCTTCCTTCCTTCCTTCCTTCCTTCCTTCCTTCCTTCCTTCCTTCCTTCCTTCCTTCCTTCCTTCTCTTGCTAATCTAATACTGGGGCAGCTGGACAAGGAAAAAAAGAGAGAGAGGAGGATGTTTTAAGCCAGCTGTGCTCTAACTGTGCATCCTACAAATCTGGACAGCCAGAACACAGCCAGAGCTACATTAAGAAACTGGAAAGAAGGCAGAAAACATCCTTCTCTCTCCCTCTCCGCTGATTCCTTCCTTCCCACCTGCCCCCCCTTTAGTCACCCAGTTGGTCTAATGCTACCACAGGAAGTCTTTAAAAGAAAAAGAAAAGAAAAGGAAGAAACAGAATGAGAAGGGAAGTAGGAAACAAGCACACCCAGGTGCCAGGTGTGGGGAGGAGAGGATTCCAATAGTTATCAAGGTGCAAACAAGGCAGATTTCATGCATCCTCTCTCTCTGCTGACCCCTGTGAGGGTGGCTGAAGTGAATTTACCTGAGGAAACCCGACTTCCCAGGTGGGATTTTATAGGGGACCTATTTACATTTCTCTACTGTGTAGTCATACCCCGAGACGAATAGAAAACAAGACATAATGCGGAGGGAGAGCGGCATCTCCGATAGCCCCTTTTTGTGATGCATCCAGGGAAATGTTTGTGGTTTCCCAGCTGGGACATTCTGTGACAAGACCTGCTTGTTTGTTTGTTTAAGCAGAGACCTCAGCAAACAAGGAGAGAGAAAATTTTGGTAATGAATGTCCCCCATAATCATTAGGACCAGATCCCAAACAGGCAGCATCTGGTGAAGAAAACGTTCCATTCTTTCATGGAACCTGGAGAAGTTGTTGGCCTGAGATGCTATTCCTGTCTTGGGAGAAGTAGATTAGGGGGTCATGGGTTTAGGCTGCTATTTCAATGATGTCTAGGCAGCTCAGTAAAGGGATTATCATCTTCCCTCTGGCCAGAAGGCTCCAGGTGGTAATCCCAGTGACCACACATTCTGCATGGGATCAACCAAGGGTTCCACTGTCAGGTGATGAGAAGGCACTACAAGTTTGAACTGAAATGTATTTCTGACTCCCCTTGTTTCTCTTATCCTAGTGCCTTCTCAAAACACCTTCTTTCCCAAACAGCATTTGACTCCCAGAAATGATTAAAGATTAACTCAGAATGATTTGAAATAAGGGCACCTTAAACACTAACAGATTTATTTCAACACAAATTTTATGGACAACAACTGATTTAACCAGAAGCGTAAATTTTTATCCTGTGTTATAGGTATGTATTCACATGTTGCAGGGGCAGTGGTGAATTAGTGTATAAACAGGGAAAAGGGAAATTAAATACAGAAAGTACAAACAATAGCAATCATATAATTAACAATGGCCTTTCATAACACAGCTATTGCCAAGGCTTACACTGCTGTACACTTCCCCCTTACCCTGCAAATCCCCAATGCATGAAGTGGCACTCAAAAAAGGTTCCAGAAGCACAAATCACAGCCAAAAAGCTGGGTGGGAGCATTAAAGTGGTATCACGCGAAGAAGGCAAGAATGCGCATCACATAGGCAAGGAGCAGTATGATGGAGTGCAACAGGAACAGTGCTCTTTATTTCTGTGCATGTGCAGACATTTGCAGACCCACTGGGAGACTGTAACTTTAGATGTTTTACAAACATGTAAATCTATGGTCTCTCTCATACACATCCTATTGGGCATCCAGAATAAACCAGTCTGGATTGTGATACAACACAGACCAGCACTGGACAGGTGCTCCCCTGTGTCTAGTTCCTTTCATTTGGGTAGATCCTGATTAATCTGGGTTCCTGCCCAGTCACCTGAATCTCATTTGATTGAACAGGGGTGATCAAGAAAGCAGCATCACAAAAGGCAAAATCCTGTTTATATAGCCCCCTGCCCAACACTCAAAAAAAATCTCCTGTTTCTCTGTGTGTGCATGCACACAGGGGCATATCATAAACTAAACTCACTGTGTTGCATACAAGAAAATAAGCCTGTAAGTACTCTATAATTTCCTTAAGTGACCCTGCTTAGACAATATGAAAAAAAACCCTACAGCAGTATAAGAGAAGAAACATGCAAAGAAGTGTACAGTACTAGCATGCTCATGAAATGTTTCAAGTTAAAAGACCCATGTTATTTGTAAATGCAATCCCGTGGACTTTATTTAGCGTGTGTGTGTACCAAATCTTTGTTCCCTTCCCCCACATGTCCCAGGCCTGAAACTGGCACGGTGCCCCCTGGCTGGGGTGCAGGCTATTTCAGGAGTCTCCCAGGAGCCTTGTTCTCTGTAAATGTAGAAATCCAAAACACAAACAAAGTAGCGGCATGGTGGAGCCATACTTCTCCCACCTGCTGGACTCTGCATATTTCTCCAGCAATATTTTGTGACCTTACAGCAATTTACAGGAAACAACATCACTTTTGGAAAGAAGAGACATCTCAAAGAGGAAAGGGATAGAAGGAGAGCTCAGGAAATTTATTGTGGGGAGGGGAAAACTACAACTCCCACAATCCCCCAGACCACAGTCTTTTAAAGACACATTTGCAAGCTCTGAATTATTTTCAGAGAATTCTATTCTGAATTCTATTTGCAAGGGGCAAAAGGGTAGCAAAGCACATGTCTTAATTTCCAGAAAAAGTATATACCCAGTGGAAACTCCAAACAGCACAATCGACTCACACAAGGTCTGATCATGTCCCTCTGCTCAAATCAGCCTGCTACATGGTCTACATGTGTGCATAACACTGTTCTTGGTGATCTCTCTAATGCAGCAGTAATATACACTCAGGCTAAACATGAATTGCACTCAAGTTAGCTCCCTTTATGTATCACCTCAAATCCTCCCAGTAGTCATCATTTGGACTTGGAGTAAACACCAGATATTATGTCCAGGGAACCTTCCCGCTCTCTTGCTTGCTCTGAGGCAAAACTGATAAGGGTTTCAGAAAGCTGGTAACTGCGATTAGCCAGAGTATCTTCCTATTAGCCAAGGTATCTTGATATCACATGACATATTGTTTCTAGCACAATGACACTATGCAGTCCAATGGAACAGAGGAGCCTACAGTACAGTGTTTCCCACCCTGGAGGTTGTAACCCCCAAGGGGGCCACAAAGTTTTCTAGAGGTCGTCGGTATTATAGCCCTTGTTAAACCATTTCTTCCTTCTCCTTTGGAGTCAGATATTAAAGTTAGCATGTGTGTGTATGTGTGAGAAATAGGCCCCTTGAGGAAGAATGAAGCCGCTACTTTCTGAGAAGAGACTACTTTACCCCATGAAAAATGCCCTCCTATGCAAATGTGGCAGGGGGAAGTCACAGGTTACTCGTCTATTATAAAAGGGGGTCACAGCTCAAAAAAGGTTGTGAACCAAAGGGGGTCATGACTCAAAAAAGGATGAGTGATAAACCATTGCCATAATCATAAACCATTGCTATAGCATGTCATAGACAGCATGTTCCCACAGCTCATCCCAATTAGCAAATCTGAAGCACACAAATAGATGGGTTTTTAAAATATTAAAGAGTCACCGGAAGGTCTAGTTCACAGATATGAAACAGATGTTCCTACAAGTGCTGTTGGACTGCAATCTGCATCTCTCCTCCCCGTTTGCTATGTTGGATAGCAGTGATGGAAGTTGTAGTCCAGCAACTCCTGGAGGACCACATGTTCTCCACCCCTGATCTAGTGACTCCTCCTCCCATTCAGATCCAAAGACTCCTCCACCTGACCTCTGCCAACAACTATGGAAGAGAATCCACAAGTGATCCCCACAGACTCACCAGCAACCCCTCGCTGCACTTTTCCGCCATGGTCGGGGGCTGTGATATGGGCGCCCACCTGCCCTTGTCCCGTCTTGCTGGCTACACTTCCCAGGATACACAGAGAGCGCAGATCATACAGCAGCACAAATTAGACTAAAGAGACTGGATGCTGTGGAGGAGAAAAAGGGACACAGATTAGGAAGGAAAAGGTATCGTCATCAACAACAACAATAGACAACCCTTCTGTTCTAATCCTAACTCTTCAACAGGGAGCAACCCAAACCCACAGAGCATTTAACAAAGATTAGGACATTTGTAAAACCATTTCCGTCTGTTTCCAAGGACCATCGTTTAACTGGAAAAAAAATGTACTGTTGCTTCACATTCTATGTCCAGCATATGCCCAAAGATGGTAAAATGAAACATGTCAGCAGAATTAGGAGAGAATGCAGAGTTGGGTTTAATAACAGGCTCTGTATCTGCCCCACTATTCCTGATCCTATCAACCCACTACTGGCATCTCCACACCAGAGACAGGGATGGAAAAACGACACGTGGCTGAGAAGAACAGAAGTAGCGCTCAGGGCAGGGGAAGTCTTCAGGGCACTGAGCACGCACAGGGGCACAGCTGCCATTCAGGACACAGATGGGAGGCGATTGCCTTCCACCCTGGTGCACTGAGTCACGTGCAAGGTCAGCTCTGTCATTGTGCTAGAGACCAGGTGGTACGGTTAGGCAACCAAAACGGGGGGGGGGGGGAGAGAAAGGAAATTGTCCACCCTCTTCTTAATGCACGAAAAAGTTGTTTAAGGATGCCTCTGCAGATTCAGCCACAGCACAGCATGTAGAAGTTACTTTTTTGGACTACAACTCCCTGAACCTTCAAGGAACACAAAGGAATAAATGTTCCTTCTCTAGCCACCTCTGCTATAATCCAATCTGGAGTTTCTTTTAAAATGAAAATTTAAGAGTTTGAAAAAAAATACATTTTGTACTGCTACTCCTAGAATTTTTCTCAGCCAGCACAAATATATCCCTCGGTCAATACTCATGCTCCTGGTATGACTCTGGGGATTGTTGTCCGAAAAGGTACCTCTCCCAAGCTGGTCTGTCTACCTACATCAAGAAACAATGGCAAAGAAACGTTTGTAAGATACAGCGTAACTGAAGTATGCAATGGTCCTGACAGGGCACAGAATGAGGAGGAGGGGTGGAGCAGGAAAAGATGTCTTCAATCTATAGCACATGGGGACAGGGTGGAGCGGAGAGAGGAGGTGGGTGGATATTTCAGGGACCTAGGGGTGGAGCCTGAGCCGGTGAGATAAGGAACTGAGTCAAGTGCTTGAGAAATGTCCTCACTTGTCTCATTCAGAAGTCATAAACTGGGGACAGCAATGCTAGATACTTCCCACTGCTATGAGGGCACAATCCCAGAGAAAGACCTGTGGTAACCTCTGACCTCTGTTTGGGTTCTCAGCTAAAATGGTCCAGTAGCTTCACATTTTCCTGTCTGTCTGTTGGTTTGGTAGATTTCTATCCTGGTGAATGAGCTTGTGATGGCATGACGTAGCGCTTGTGCTTACAATGGGTCCGTGAAGGTGAGATAGCAACTGACTCACGTGTTACCCCATGAGTCTCTTGATTCACTGTGGAAGTAAATCTGGATTTTCCAAATGTCAGTCTAGTGTTTTGATCGCTACCCCATGCTGATTTCTCTTGGGGTAAAAAAATCATTGGGGAGAGAATGCATCACTCCTCTCACTGTGCCTATGCATGCACACATGACACACACACAAGATGCTAAAGACAAGGGCAGTTCATGGACCATCTCTCCCAAAAATTTCATGGTAAGGCATTCATCTCCCTCCAATTTGAACTGAATAGTGCCTGGAGTCCTTCTCAATGTAGTATCTTTGCATTAAGTGAGAATGCCCTGGATATGGCTTTTACAAGGACAGGGATCCTGGGAGGTGAGCCTTGCCAGGGCTCATGCAACCCTACATGAGCACCCTCCCCCTTTTGTCATCTATTGGTAGGTCCCAGGTGTGCAGTCTTGCTCCCCAGAGGATGGATCCAGCTGCATCAGAAATTCCTCATCACCAGGGACCAAATCTCTCCCCAATGATTTTTTACCCCAAGAGAGATCAGCATGGGGTAGGGATCAAAACACTAGACTGACATTTGGAAGATCCAGTTTTACTTCCACAGTGAACCAAAAGACTCATGGGGTAACAAGTGAGTCAGTTGCTATCTCACCTTCACGGACCCATTGTAAGCACAAGCGCTACGTCATGCCATCACAAGCTCATTCACCAGGATAGAAATCTATGAAACCGACAGACAGACAGACAGACAGACAGACAGACAGGATCTTGCGACCACGAGCTCATTCACCAGGATAAAAATCTATGAAACCGACAGACAGACAGGAAAACTTGAAGCCACTGGACCATTTTAGCTGAGAACCTGAACAAAGGTCAAAGGTTACCACAGGTCTTTTTTTCTCTGGGATTGTGCCCTCATAGCAATGGGAAGTATCTAGCATTGCTGTCCCCGGTTTATGACTTTTGGATGAGACAAGTGAGGACGTTTCTCAAGCACTTGACTCAGTTCCTTACTAGCTCAGGCTCTACCCCTAGGTCATTGAAATATCCACCCACCTCCTCTCTCCACTCCACCCTGTCCCAATGTGCTATAGACTGAAGACATATTTTCCTGCAGATTGGCATCTGAATTGTGTGACCCATCATAAAATGCTAGACACCATTACGCCTCTCTAAATAGAGGAAGTCCAATTTTTGAAACACAGAGAATTAAACAAATATACCAATAGCTTCCTGCTCTTTCTATTAACTGGTACCCTGGACTGCTGCCTTAAAATCTTGTGCTGATAGTGCCACTGAGGATACTAGCTGTTGTACGTGCAGTAGAGAGTTTATTTTGGATATTACAAGATGAGGTTTTTTAGTGTTACATCACCCTGCCTCACACATGGAATTTTACAAATGGGGACTCTGCACAACAAGAGTCAGATTCCCATTAATTATGTGCACTACTGTGAGTATAGTGGCATAAACTATAGTAGTGAAATCAACCCTTATATTCCTCATCACATGCCCACTCATGCAACTGGTGATGAGGAGAAATACATGCATTGGTGATTTACTACATCAGTTTACATCACTTCTATTAGTGTATTTAAATAACTAGATTCTGGTTGTGTGTTTGATTTGCAAACCTCCTGTGCTCCTCCAATGTTTATTCCTGTTATTTTCTTATTGCAATAACAACAAAATGGTTAAGGAGGGACATGTGGAAAAGAGTGACAATGTGTCTTCATTAAAAGTGCTAGGAACTGTCTATCTGGAAATATTTGAGATTCAGGATGGAATCAAGAGGTTATAGATAAACATAAATTATATTGGCATTATTGTATTTGTGTTGCTCTACTTAAATGCTTGCTTAAGCAAGGGAGTACATAAAGAAGGTCCAATATGATCTTCTTTATGGGATAGTCATCTACTGAAGAAGACAGGTAGTGGCTAACAGCATTCTGAGGAAGGCGAAATAAATACTGCAGCAACAGTAGAGCAGGATAAGGAAGTTTACCCTAGGGTAGCGATGGCGAACCTATGGCATGCAGAGCCCTCTCTGTGGGCAAACGAGCCCTAAGTCGCTAGATTGCTACCCCAGCTGCCAAAACATAGGAGGTAGCTAAAGCTGTGGTCCTAGTGCCCTGACAGGTAGCAGGCCAGGATCCGGAGCAGCTGGCACTGGTGGTGGCGGGCCGGCCTAGTTATTGGCAGTGGCAGGGTTGGGCATGACTCGAGGCCAATCCGGAGTGGGGTCTGGAGGAACCTCCATGCCCAGAGGAAATACACATTTTGGGCACAAAGGTTAGTCTGAAAGTGTTTATCAGTATCTCAGGTGTCAGGAGGAGAAATACATATAATTTCCTGTGGTCAGATGGAAAGGCTTTAATGTTTTTTGCCCCAGCTCTCAGTTACTAACCGTGACTAACAGAAATATGGATGGCAGATGACACAAAATAAGTAAATAGGTACATATTTATTTAATAAGGGTGTGTTGTCAAGTCAGTTCAGGCTTATGCTGACCATTTCCATGGATAGTACTCAGAAGCAGTTTACCATAGTTAGATACCTAACTTACTGAGCTGTCCAGCCAGTGCATACAGTACTTTATTTACATGGCAGATATAATGCATCTTAGTACAACACGTAGACAGCTCGGGCCAGCATTTCTCTTTTAGAAGTATAGAACACACAAAGCTTCAGGTATGTGGCTACTGCTTGAGATATGGCAGTTTTTCCCATAGTCCCCATTTAAGGTAAAAGGTGAAGTTACCACAATGTTGTAACTAGGAAACAGGCCTCATAAAACCAAAGGAGACGCATGAATGGCAATGCTCATCACTATTATAGCCCAGGAGCTACAAGCAGAAATGAGTGTTATACACCAGTCAAATAAACAAACTGTTCTCTCTGTTTTTTAAAGAAACATATCCAAATAGCACAGCGTCTATTTGAAAAGAAATATGAAAATTATGACAAGACGGTCCCTTTTACTTCCAGGCAGGGTATCGTAAGGTCCCTCTTCTGCAACAAAGTGACTGGTTCAGGAGCCAAAGTGGAAACTCACAAGTACAACAAGGAACATTCTGAGGCCACTGAAGAGCCAAAAGGGACACTGAGGAGTGAGTAGAACAGAGGCCTTTTTTGCTTGCATCTCCTGAATGCCGGGGACTACATGGAAGACACTCCCTCTGAGCTGTCAGGGCTGAGCCATGCAACATTGCATCCTACACTGGGAGGCAAGAAAGAAGTGACACACAGAAAGTATTATGTGATAGATGACTTAATTGCACCCCTGCCCTTGACTGAGTCCCCCCCCACACACAGACACACACACACAGACAAACACACACACACACAGACACACACGCACAGACAAACACACACACAGAGAGAGAATGTTTCCCTTTTCATCCTTAAGCAGTCCTCCTTGTCCTGCCAACAAACTCCTGAGTGCATTTAGATGCAGAAGAGTTCTCTGCTCTACCATGCCAAAAACAAGGACGCACAGGCAGAATCCCCTTAAAGAGCAGGGACACCTCACAAAGGGGTAGGAGGAAGCTGTCCCCAGAGATGACACCATGTTTCAGAGACATTTTGTCACAGGCTCCACATTGGACTGTCCACCAAGCCCCTGTTGTAGGGCAAGGAACTTTCCTGTGCCTGGCATATGGACCTCTCCTATTTTGTCAGCTGAATAGACCCTGGCAGCTGCACAAGAGAAGTGTAAGGGGATCAGCTGCGCTGTGAGAAAGCCAACAAAGACAAGTCAGCAGTGACTTTGGAGGGGATGCTTGAAAGTTAGTGGAAGCAGATTATACCTGATAGTATGGAAACAATCCTAGCCCCAGCTCAAGCAAACTTTTCCACTATGAGTTATATCTACAACTGTCACTAATTCACTACTCAGGGCTAACACGATGCAATAAATGCTGCTGTAGGATGATGTGTCTACGCTGATCCCAGATGCTGGGAAACTGGGAAGTTTCCCTCTCACACTGATAACATCGTACTGAAATGGTGCAAACAGCTTTTTCCTGAAATGTGCTGAAGAAATATAATGATGCAGCACAAGAAAGCCTGTACTGGTAACCCCTAAGTGCTACAAATAATCAAGTCAGGATGAAGGTTGCATCGGGGATTTCAGCTCTTGGACATTTCAGATCATGTATGTTATCAGGATTCACTCAGACAACAAAAGCCAGAGAGGTGCAATAAATGTCTTTGCCTATAAGGTGCCATAAGATTATATGGTCATCTGAAGGCAATGATTTAGCGAACAGAAAGCTTCACTTTGATTTCCCTCCCCCCCACTTCCTAATTGAGCAATCTCCAAATCTGGAGTATCCTTTATGCCTCTGTGTCAATGCTCCTTAGTGCATTTTTTAGATTCTGTAATTAAATTTTGCACACCTTTACAGCAGTGGAGAGGGCTACAACAATTTAAACTGTTGTAATTAACAGCAAGACAAACAAGTATGTGGGAGAGGGCTTTCTTTTGTGTGGCTCCTTGGCTATAAAATGAACTTACTTTTGAGTTGTGCTAAGTTTCCACTCTTTGACCCAACTCCGGGAGGCAGTGGAAGACAGGAGGGCTTGGTGTGCTCTGGTCCATGGCGTCACGAAGACTCATACACGAATTAAACTAGAACGTTTTACCTGCCCTGCAGTGCTGTTTTTAGTCTGAATTCCATGTAATTTTAATGTTTTCTAATGTTTAATGTTTTCTAATTACAAGAATTTTGCTGATTTTATGGTTTTGCTGTGGGGTGGGCTTATATTGTTTTATTAAGGCTTTAGCTAACTGTTGATTTTATCTTTCAAATTTTCATTTTAAAAACTGTAAGCTGATTTGAACACTATCTTTCAGTGGAAAGGCATAGTATAAATGTACCAAGTTAATAAAGTAAAAATAAACAATGGGACTAATTACTCTATGTACAGTGTCTTCCACCACATTGTTAATATACCCTTCTGAGAACTGATTTCCTATTCTTTGAATATCTTTCACTTTCAGGTGGTTTCTTTTAAAGTTCTAGTGTAAATATTTACGCACATTACTCTAGCCAGAGAGGAGCAAGAATGCAGAGTATTGCACCAGACCAGACACAGTTTGGTAGGTGGAAGTTGGCAAGAAAAACCGGAACTGATTTTTCTATCGACAGATCAACTACAAAAAAAGCCGGCGTACACTGCACTATAGGTTATGTATAAGAAAGGCGAGGGGGATTAACGGCATGGTAACAGTGCATTAACAGACGTTAGCAAAATCATCTGATGCTTTTCCAAGCTGAGGTGGCGGCAGAGTTAATCTTGACCTTCATCCTAGTTCCACACCCGTTTCCACTGTCTGACGTCCCAATACCGAGCTCTCTCTACAAGAGCGGCTGGAGAAATATCCTCCGAAGGGGTAGGGGGGGGGGCGCCGAGAGGCGCTCCGAATACCTGGCCAAAGGGGGTACGCAATCCCTTTAAAAGCACCAGAGGGAGCCAAGAAAACGGATGGAGGTTTTCTTTTTCTTTTTCTTCTTTTTTTTTACATCAGCTGCCACGTGGGAGCTGCTCCACGCTCCTCCCCTGTACATGGAAAATTACAGCGCGCGGACCCCCGGCCCCGACTCCGGTGGGCGACCGGGGAAGCCCCCCTTCCCAGCCCAGACACCCCACCTCGCGTTCTGTCGGGCCCCGCAGCCGCTCCGCTCCTGCCACCCCAGGAAGGCTCTTCCGGGCGCC